TTTGTGATGAGTCATCACGTTTGCCAAGCTGACGGAATTTCTCATTTCTGAACCACTCAACTACTAATAGCAAAAAACACTTAAAAAAACTTTCGATGTTAATGTTATACATATAATCATATTGGCTTATTTCTCAATTTATTTAAAACGCAATGATAATTTTGATAACAAATATTTATTTAATTCGATCGGTTTTTCACTACCTACTATTCATTATTTTATTCATACTATTTAATCTAAAAATTAATAATATATCGGACTCTCGAATCAAACAATAATAGTGGAATAAATGTAATGTTCAACGCGGTAATTCCTTCTATTTAATTTATCTAGTATGCGTCAACATTTGGTTTTTACTTTTTATTTTGTTGACAATATTCGATACAACTCAATTGTAATCACATAGCGAATATTATATTTTGCGTGACGAAAAGCAATTTCTCGTTTTAGCAATCTGTGTCATTCGACATATATCTACTACACGTGGCATGATATTTATGAATGAATACTCGAAACTTTACTGCACGAACAAATTTTGATGCTCACGGCATTTGGCGAGTGAGTGGGAGTCCGGAGTTACATTTTACGGCGGGAATTATATTGCTGGACCACCAAGTCACCAGCGTCAGTATTTCTCTGTCATCCGGATCTGTGTGAACGCAACGATATCTCGGCAGTTGCATTTTCGTTAAATTAGATAACTTTTTGAAAATTTGATAAATTTTTAAATTAGATATAATATGATGTCTCTTATGTGGATGAATTATATGAAAAACAAAACAAAAAAACGACATATCAGACGAAAACGTGAAATTCACAAATATGTAAGCGAAAAAACTGAATGCAAAAGCAATGTTGACTCAAACACATCATTAAGGCTCCTGTTTATTCATCACTGTTACTTCAGGTTGTGACGTTAAAGAGGCGAAAAAAATACAATAAAAATCCGTGTAAAATATAAAGTGTACAAATATTTTGATAAAACAACACTAACAAATGATAAAACCGATAAGTGTAATATACTAGAAACTTGTTAATTAATAAATAACCACATATTTGGAAATGCATATCTAAATACAATATAACTTATGTTCGTAGCATGATAAATTGTTAAATTAATAATATATAGAAATAAATATAATGTAATTTTTTCTTGAAATAAGAAGATAGTTTCCCATATATTTTATTAGTCTGTTCTATTGATTATAAATGTCATTTCATTGAAAAATATGTTTCTATTCAAATAATATATGTAATTTAACTAGAAATTTTATTGTGTCTTTTTGCTTTTGAAGTCACAATCTGAAATAATAGTAGTAAACGAACAAAACTTTCAGAACTTCAAAATGAATATTTTTCCAAATTTTTTTATTAATAATAAAAATACATTTAGCAAGACTCTCTTTTAAAATATTGCTCTATAAAAGTTGATAAAACAAAATAATGAAAATTTGTGAATTATTTCTAGATGAGAAACGACAGGAGAACATCGATGGAAGGTGAGAGGCTTAGCGACAATAGTGGCGGCGGTGGTGGTGGTGGTGGTGGTAGCGGCGGAATTATCGACGGAAATGGAAGTCGCCCTCTTTCTCAGACATCTAGCGAGATGGATACTCTTGGACCATTACAACCCGTTAAACATCGCGAAAAGGCAAAACTTCAGGTAATGCTCTCAAATTTATTGATTAATTACCTGTGTAACATATTTATTCAGTTCGTTATAAAAAATTGTCAAAAATTTCGAACAATCTAACTCGTTATCTATTGTATTTTATATTAAAAAGAAACTAATTTATTTAATGTATTTAAAATTCTACGACGGATAAATTTTACAGAGACCACTCACGAGGTATCTTCCGATCAAGTCAGAGTCCCTGGATCTAAGGCATCATATAGAAACTGCCGGGCATCAGTTACCTTTGATTTACGATGTTACGGTTGACACAACAAGTTGCAGTGGTTATTTATCGAAGATGAGTAAAAAATTTCATCATTGGAACAAGCGATGGTTCGTTTTTGATCGCAGACGGAAGACGTTGTCTTACTATAGCGATAATACGTCCAAGAAAGCTCGCGGCGTAATTTACTTCCAGGTAAGTGCCGAGAGCTGATTTATTAAGGATTTTAACATTAATATCAACTAATCAATATTAACGCATTGTAGTCGATCGAAGAAGTTTATGTGGACCATATGAATACCGTCCGATCGCCACAACCATCCCTCACATTTATCGTCAAGACATCATCTAGACTTTACCATCTTATGGCACCCAGCCCGGAAGCTATGCGAGTTTGGGTAGACGTTGTATTCACAGGTGCAGAAGGATATCACGAGTTTGATCATGGCGTTTGATTTATACTTATTTATAAAACAAATTTCTATGATACACGGAATCGAATTTTCTAATTTTACGTAACACGAGAATATAGTGATTTTTTGTTTAATAATTAATGAGAGACTATTTCATAAGGAATTATACCTAAAATCAGAATAACACTCTTGACTAAAAGCATGAATAAATAATACGTAAAGTAAATGAGACATAAGTTAGAAATAACAATTATTTTTAATGCGTTTTGGAAATATGTAATAATTTTACATTCTAATAGAAAATTTCTCTATATTAGGTAATATTCCTTACTGGAAAACATTTCCATGTATCTTTATTAGTAGAGCCTGGATTATTCGATGACTGACGTAATAATTCGAGTCAACCGTACACTGTTAAAAATTTCATGAAATTTAATGTACTTTTAAATTATTGTACATAATTTAAACTTTTATGACATATTAAATTTTATGTTACTGAAAAGTATATTTGTATACATACGCATAAAATTTAATGTATTTTTCATAAAACTTTATAAAATTTCATACATTCTTCATAAAATTTAATGTATGCGTTCATTATGTTTAAATAATTACTGTAACTTAGTTTTCAGTTAAATAATTTATTACTTTAAATTTCGTGCATAACCACGAGCTTCATTTACATATGTAAATACACGTGTATGAAGCACTTCTGACAGTGTAGTGTGTTCTTCACGATTCTCCTCGCTGCCACATGCTGTCACTCGTCTGAAGCCGTAACGTATGACGCAGGGAGCGGTGGAGCGATGACACTACGACAGAGCTAGTTACGGTTGACACGATCTCAAAACTTTAATCCAGGCTCTATGTATGAGAAACGAGCAACTTCAGAAAATAGGAACAAAACTAAGCTGCTACTAAAAAATAAACGAGGTAGCTAAATATAGATAAAAAAAATGTGTAAACTATTTATATAACAAAAATAAGAGATATTTTAATTGAACATTATAAATTTAAAAGTTTAAATGTAATTACTAAGCTTTACACAATTTTATTAATGCAATGATAAATTTAAACTATACTGTTTATAGTTTCGCTAGTAGTTTTGGTCGATTTCTTTTTTTGAATCCGGAGTATTTTATTTTTCAGGAATGCCATACGCAATAGTAAATAACTTTGTAAGAAAATCAGATATCATCATCAATCATTATGTCCATTTTAATTTAGAAATCTAGATTCAAGATAAGACCGATATCACATACAGAATGAGATTCTTTGATTCATCTGTACTTTGTAGAAAAGTAAAATGGATTTGGTAAATGTAAGCTAAAAAACACAAAAAAATTATTTCAATTCTTTCGGTATTTGAAGTATATAATTTAAAATAATTCTTGATGTGTAATAATATTCTTTTAATATTATTGAACGACATAATTTTTATATTTTGACTAAAATATATATAAAATTCACATAAACTGTAAAAATAATAATACATAAAACATATATTTTTTGATAAAATAAAATAAATAAATACACTAATAAGAAATGTTAATAGAAGCTTTGAAAATTTTGTTAAGAAAGAAAATGTTTTATGTGTGTATACATATACCAATAATATATTTTATATTACTTTATACATCAAAAGACATAAATTTCATAAATTTTCGATAGTTTTCTAATATCACTTCAAGCACCGAACTATTCATGCTATTTGAAAAAAAATGTGGGCATTAATAGTATGTCATGCGCAAGTATTATTCATTACCAACCATCAGATTAATTATAAATGGATTTTTACCAACCTAAGTAAATAAGTGTTATTAGGGTTTGTGTTAAATTTTATAGATACTTCTAATCTAGTCTTCCAGCGTATAAATACAAGATTTGTGGAAAGAGTTATACAATTAAATGAATTATAGTAAAAAAAAACTTTACAAAAATTTGTGTACGTCTGAAAACTGGAGGGAAAAAGGCCACTATTTGTAAATATAACATTGTGCTGTTACTTTAATCACAGTTTAATGCGTGAGATTCATATTTTGATATCATGCCATATATATGCCAAGGATTAAATGAAATAAGACTTCTTACTATTTTATAAAAGTCTATGTGCATATTGAGCTGAGGCTTATTTTATGTAATAAGAGTACTATAGCAAAATCGATATCATTCTTATTATATTTTAACAACATCGCATATATTTAAGTAAATATGCGCTTCATTTAATTTAAAAGATTATGTAAGAGATATCGAGACAATCTAATAACACAATGCTATAACTCGAAGATTTTATAGTCTGCTATAACTTTTAAGTAAAAAATATAGATTCAAATTGATATAAAAATACTTTGCATTTTTTTTTCATCCTCTATTTGATTCCTATTTGATATTAATTGTGTATCGATAATGTACATATAATTTATATATATTTTTCCCGGGAAAAATCTCGGAAAAGATAGGTATTTAATTCCCGGCGATTTAAATTTCCCGGGAAAATAACACTATTGTTATCTATTCGCTCATACGATAAAAGCATAAACAAATAATACCGATAACCGAAATAACTCACGCCTGATTAGGAAAATTCATCGGCAGCGTATATCTACGTATGCTCCGTCCAGGTTAATTCTTTGATTCGTACTACGGATTATTAATTACGTCACTGGAGGTAGCGGAAGTAAGCATCAAAAGAGTTATGCTACCACATCGATTACCTCCTGGACATTACATGAATATCAGACACATGATATCGTTTCACCAGAAGTGTCGGCAGGATTTTTATCCATCCGGTAATGTAAAAAGATTTGCAGTACCGGATGAAAAAATATCATGGACAGTCGAGTATCCCGAATATAAACCGGTCTCGTATACCGCTACTGCTCTTAAGGGTAAACCTTGGGCTGATCCAGAAATCAACGAATCTACTTTCAAACCAAAATGGAATGCGGTGGATGGTAATTACCCTTTTCTTATTCATCTAATTGATAAATTCAGTTAAAGATTAAAAAATTAACGAAGGAAAAGTAAATAATAATAAAGTCTAATCGGGTTTTTAGGTTAACATAAATATAAACTAGATCAACATTGCGCATGCGAAATAAGGGGATTGTTCCGATATATAAAGGTGATCCAAACCAGTTGAAGGAAATGTCACGTATGTTTATGAAAAACTGAATCGAAAAGTCTTCGACGACCATTTTGTAATTTTCGCATTTTTTTTAGTTACCTAATAAGTAGAATGTCTATAAAATTGATGCTTAAGACAACTTTAAGATATTTTTAAAAGTTTCTCAAGAAATATCTTTGAGATATTTCATAAACAGTTTTGAAAGATATCTTAATATTGTCTTATACGACGACTTTACCCACTTATTCGGCAATTTTTAGAAATTAATATATCATTAACTGTTGTAACCATTGTAAAATGAATGAGAGGGATTTTTTAATTCAGTTTTTCATAAACAGTATGTAATGCCGGCTCCTTCGGCTGATTTGGTCATCCTATATATATGTATATACTGTCAATACTGAAAATTTGTAATAATGTAATGTATAGATTTTTAATATTGGCAGTGTGCATCAAAACACACTCTATGTGCTAACTTTTCTTATAAAGATTTAATATTGAATATTTTCTAACAAATTTGAAATTTCTTATACATAGACAAGGTGAATCGAAAGAGTTTTATGGGTAACTATGTCGTAAACACTGATGGTTACCCCCTGAATCCCGTGGGACGAACCGGTATCATTGGACGAGGACTTCTTGGCCGATGGGGACCGAATCACGCTGCTGATCCTATCGTTACACGATGGAAACGCGATAATATGGGAATTGTGGAAGTAGATAAGCAAACAGGAAAACCCGTATTACAATTCGTCGCAATACAGAGGCGAGATTCCGGAGAATGGGCCATACCAGGGGGTATGATAGATCCAAATGAGACGGTTTCTACCACATTAATGAGAGAATTCATGGAGGAAGCGCTGAACTTTTTAGAAATGAATGACGCCGAAAGAAAGATCCTTCAAAATTCTATAACAGAATTCTTCACAAAAGGTGACGAGATTTATAAGGGATATGTGGACGATCCGCGAAATACGGATAACTCTTGGATGGAGACAGTGGCTATAAATTTTCACGACGAGGAAAATAACGTCGTCGGAAAGCTGACGTTGAAGGCTGGTGACGATGCGCGTAATGTAAGATGGATGGACTTAAATAAAGAAATTAATTTATATGCTAATCACAGTGATTTTGTAAAAACAGTTGTGTCGCGACGCAAAGCGCATTGGTGAAGCGCAGTGTATAATTACAATGATATAGGACAAGGAAATGTTAACAAACTATAATTGTTAAAAAAAATTATTTTGTATTATACATATACTACATGTACTATATACCTATACTATACATACACTTTTTACACTACAGAGCACAAGAGCAATAAATTACTATTGTTTGTGCTAAACTATGCTATAAAATCTTAAATTTAGTATACATTTCTAGAGATAAAATAAAATTTTTCAATAGAAGAGCTGACGAAATTGCATTACATGTTGTATTAAATTTGTAAAGGTGTATAACACCCAATCTTTGAATTGCAGTCATCTCGTATTACATATGCATATTTTCTTAATTCTTTTAATTACACACATCACAATCCTATTTCAACTTAAACACGAATTAAGTATAACATTACTGTATATAAATATAAAATCACTAAAAATCACATATCTATATATATATTTTTAGATGCATCTCATAAAATTATGTATGTTAATAACTTTAAAGAATCTTTTTAATTAGCTTTATATACGCTAAGCGTACATAAAATAATAATGTTTCCTCTTAAATGGAAGCTATGAAAATAATAATACAAAAATGTGAGATTTCGAAATTTGTGAATAACGCGACATATCATAAATTGAGCAAAATTTGTATGGATATATCGTATACATGCGTATAATACATATAATAATATACAAGAATAAAATACATATTTTTGTAATAAAATAATTGATGTCGGTTTTCATCAAATCAATCAATCAATTTGATTCGGTAAAACGCATACTCTTTCTGTTTTGCCAGCCTTTAGTTGACAAAAGTCGAAAGTAAAAATATTACGCGAGCACGAGCATAAAACAAGATAAATAACGCAAAATAATACCATGCAGGAATTAGTATTTTTTATATCACTATACATAATTCCTTTTGATCTTACGCTAAGGTAACAAAAGTATTTTTATATTTTTCAATATGGCACGCGACAATCACTTGTAGTTATTATAATAGGTGCTCGATTAGGTTTTTTCAAGCCAAAAAAGTGTAAAAATATTTCACTGGATTTTGTGATTATACCGAATGTGTTGTCAACATTTCTTAATAACATGAGATTGCTTAATTTAACGTCTCTAATATCATTGTCTTCATTTTTCTTTAAATCTGAATTCTTTAAGTTTAGTTTCAATAGAGTAGAAATATCTTTTTTCGATTGAGTTTCAACTTTTTCTAACTCAAGTGCATGTTGCGCTTGTACCTGGCCCAATTTTGCTGCTCTGGTGAAATAAGTACGCGCGGTATCAATATCAATTGGTAAACCGCCCCTTCCTTGAGCATGGAAAACTCCCAAATTATATAATGCATCGGCATGATCATGGGCCGCGGCATCATTGTAATATTTTGCAGCCTGAAGGAAAATTATACTTTTATATTTTTTACACAAGAGCATATCTTTCTCTCTCATCACACTTTTAAATCTACATTTTTTAATTTCATATAAATGCCAATCATTTTTCTTACTTTTGTGTAAAGATAAAAAACCGAATTTTTTAATAATGAAGTATTTAAAATTATTTTGCATTTCCGAATTTCTGATATAGTCTAGACATTAAAGTGTACCTTTGCTTGGTCTGCCAAAGTTCCGATGCCTAATTCGTAACATAGACCTAAATTAAACAAGCTTCCGGGGGATGATAATTTAGCACCCGCAGAGAAATGCATTAAAGCATCTGTATAACGTTTTTCTTCTAAAGCTTTAATACCATAACGAAGTTCGTATTCGCCTACTATTATATTATGGGTTTTTGTAAATTCATTGGAAGCTTCATTGAATGCCTAAGGATATAGAAAGGTGGTAAAATCTATATATATAAACTTTTTCAAACTTAGCCTTTTAACACACAGGAGAGAGAGAGAAATGAAACGTTTTTAAAAACTTGAAAAAAAAAACAGAGTAAAAGAAATAGACATTTAAGTCTTCATTTATTCTATAATTTTTGGAATGCACTTTGTTAAATACATTATAAAATTTAATATAAATTATATTTTATTTACAGAGATGTGACAATAAGCGACGCGAATTATACTATACGTGAATATAAATTTATTTGCACGAGTTACAAAGATAATATCACAACAAGTACAATATATAATATCGAAACAAATAAATGTTTGCTAAAAATATCTTTAAATTTCTCAGAGAAGAAATAAGTGAAAAATGTGTTCTGTATACTTATCTAGTAATTATAGAATCAATATAAAAGCCATGACAATTATAATAAATAATTTTTGATTAAAATATTATATTGCTTTTTAAAAATGGATGTAGAAGAATTATATAGATTGTTATAATTTCAATCCTAATTCAATTTTTGCCTATATACCATTACAAAGTATGTCTGCAAAATAACATCCTCACCTCTTCAATAGTGATAGGACCAAATGGTTTTTCTGCAGTCCATTGTGAGTTTGAATCCTGTAGGTTCGAGATTTTTTTACTAGTACCAACGCAATTGGTAACTGGCAAAATTTTTCTTGGATGTAAATTTAATAATTGCGTAAGTATAAATGAAACTCCAGAGTCATGCAATTTGCTTTTCAAGGTCTCAGTGCTATCTCTGTCAAAAACTCTGTTCCGAAGACAAAGTGTCTGACATACAACCCATCCAGCCGCCAGTACACTAGACTAATAAAATATAAATATTACACATTAACAACAAAGCATTCTTTTAATATTGCCAAGAAATGTTGTATAACATTACGACAGGTCATTATTTTAAGACATTATTTACCCAGCCGACAGCCTCTGACCAACTGTGCTTGGTGTTCCAATCAGTACCACGTCTGTTGTTTTTAGCGCCGGCACTTTTAGCCGATCCACAAAAACCCTTATCACAAGTGATAAAAACTGGTGGAAGAAATTTTTGTTGGCACGTTAGGCTTGTTTTGACTTCGTTCTTCGCATTATCCTGAGACGACTGCGAATAAACATTGGTGCGACAAACACGTCGCTCCAATGTTTCTCGAATTCCACGAAATACAACTTTCCACATTTTTCCTTCTCTTTTTTTATATATAGAAAAGATAATGTACTTTATGAATAGCTATAAAACCAAGGTAAAAAAAACCTCTACGAGGTTAAATCTACTACATTAAAAGAGAATGCAATCTGAAGTCTGAAGCACAAACTAGAAGAAAACAGACAATAGTTGAACAGACCATAATAGAATTCCATCGCAGAACAGGTAGACATTCTGTTCATATCAAATAGCCCTAGATTATTCACAGATTTCTCTCTGAAGCGGATCGTGAAAATGTACCTTAAAGCCCAAAAAATATTGCGAGGGAATAGCGATAGCGATAAATTTCAACTTATCAGAAATCGAATACACCGGAATACACATTTTTGATAGGTTGAAACTTATCGCTATCGCTATTCCTGTGTCTTGGGCTAAACTGATAGTTGGCAATATTTGTTAAGTCTATTGGAAAAAAGAGAAAGCGACGGTACTTGAGTATGAAGGTGCCATTTCACGAGCTGCTGAAACTGGCCGTTCCAGCGACAAAAAAGGTCACATGATAAAAATTGACGAATAGCAAGCGAATATGACGCTTGCTATTCGTCAATTTTTATCATGTGACCTTTTTTGTCGCTGGAACGGCCAGTTTCAGCAGCTCGTGAAAAGGCACCTTGAAAAGTACAAGCAACGTGAACAGATCTATTGGTTGCGTTCAGCAGAAAAAGCAGCTTTGCAATTGTTGTGAAATTCTACGATTAGCCTTGCCTTTTTGTTCCTCTTTGGACCTAAATGTGTAAGCCAATCATATTCAAGAATTTTACAACAATTGTACAAGGTATGTTTTTTTTTACTGAACTTTTGCACCAGTTCATCTTTCTTAAGCCTTGTGTCCACGATGCTAGAAATCGGTCCAAGATCTCGGATGAAGAAAGAGAATTAACAAATCGCATTTGAACAATTTGGTCACATGACCAATGTAATTGGTCAATTTTTCCTTCATCCGAGATCTCGGACCGATTTCTAGTATCGTGGACACAAGGCATTATTCTTCTCTTCAGAAAAAGAGAAAAGAAGAAAAAATAAACTGGTGCAAAGTACAACCAAAAAGAACACAGGCCTAAAGCTGCTTTTTCTGCTAAACGTGGCCGTAGCACACACTTTGCATAACGTATCAACAAATTATAATTCTTCTTTTCCTTCTACTTCACGGAAAAGAAGCATTTTGATTGGTTGATTCTCCGCGTCATGCATTATGCGTCATGCAAAAGTGTGTGCTGCGGCCTTTACCATTATAGGCCTGTCCTTTTTCTCTGCACTGTGTCCACAGTGCAATAAGTTGAAGTGAAACAGATATACGTTTGTTTCACTTCAACTTATTGCACTGCCTGAACTGGTGCAGACAGTGCAGGCAAAAAGAACAAGCCTTACTAGCTCCTAACCTATATCATGAACACAAGATTGAAGAGACCACGCTGCATAGAGTCCTTAATAGTAATACGAGCAAAAGATTAGCACATGCATATTTAAATGAAAAATTAATTGTTTTTTAAAATGGGGAAAAAATCGAAGATTGGAAAGCAAAGGAAAGACAAATACTATCAATTAGCCAAAGAAACAGGTAATATTGTATAATAATTTATTCATATGAATTATTAAATTGAAAATTGTATTAGCGTCACAAATGCGGTAGTATTTTAATTAAACGTTTAGTAGTTAATTGAAATAATTAATAATAATTATATAATTGAAATAATTACTCAAATTTCGTATTTTATTCAGGTTACAGATCGCGTGCTGCTTTCAAATTAATTCAATTAAATCGAAAATATGAATTTCTTCAAAAGTCTAGAGTATGCGTCGATTTATGTGCTGCACCTGGCGGCTGGATGCAAGTTGCCAGGCAAAATATGCCAATGTCATCAATAGTTATTGGTGTAGATTTATTTCCAATAAAGCCCATTCCGGGATGTCTCAGTCTTGTGGAAGATATTACAACAGATAAATGTAGAGTTGCTATTTCACGTGAATTAAAAACATGGAAG